GAGTCAATACCTGTGTTCTTGCTATATTCCTTGTTGCCATTGTGTGCTACTTGATTTGTTTGGTTAGGGCCTGCTACAGGCCTGTTTTGTGTCTCTTGTGCTTGCACCCTTCCATTGTTGGTCTGTTCCTTCTTTTCTTCATGTTGAGTTTCCTGCATATTCAGATTAGTAAAGGAATTATGGTTAAGATTATTTGGTATCCCTGTTTGCTGAATTGGCACCCTTTTTTGTGGTGAAGTTGGTCTCCAAATTGTTTTTTGGACTCTTTCCTCCTGTTGCTTGTTGTGTTTCTTTTTTTGTGTTTGCCATTCCTCCTCCCTTTGCTGTCCAGCTTGCTTTTAGATGTTAGTCTCCTTGTTCCTTTGATTGTGCTCCTCTTCTTTTCCTTTTTCCCTGGCCTGGTTGTTTTCATTGCCCTTTTTCAATTGTTCCCCATTGTTTTTGTCCTTCTTTTCTGCCTCCAGCTCCTTCCTTTTTTTGAATTCCTCATCCCTTATTTTGAAATTACACTCATATACCATATGCCCTTGATGTTTGCAATATTCACAATATGGAGGGATACTTTCGTATTCAATGGTTTGCCACCTTCCTATGGTAAGGTCCTCTTCATCCAATCCAATCCATACATGCCTAGGTCTAGCCTTAGTTAGGTCCACCTGAACCTTTACCTTGGCCATGCTAGCTCGGGTTCTCTTAATGGACGCTGTGTCAAGATACAGAACCTTGCCTATAGGAGATAATAGAGGTGTTATAAACTCTTTTTTGAAACAGTGCCATGGTAAACCTGGGAGGAGTATCCATATGGGTACAATAGGTGTTTCTTCCTCCGGTGTGAAGTTAGGAGTCCAGGTCTGTATCCTCATGAGTTTCCCCTCAATAAGCATTCTTTGTTGTGTCCAAACTGTATTATAATCCAATTCATTTTCCAAATCAATAAATATGTGTCTTGCATTGTAGTGGGCTATGTTGGCCCCCCCAGTCAGTTGAGTTTGTAAAATGAAACTCTTCCGGATAAGTTCCATCTTTGGCATGGTACTACTAAATTTACCTATCAAAGTATATTTGCAATCCACAGCCAATTTTGTCATAAAGTCATCCATATCATAGATGATAGCAGGTAAGCCCTGTTTGGATGTGATTTTATGAGGAACTAGTTCGATAGGTTTTTCTTGTTGGGCTTGGTTATGTCTAAGTCTCGCAGCCATGGTTTGAACCACTGTATAGGGGGCTGGTTCACTGTTCTGTTCCTTTTTGGTTTGTGGAGGGTTGTTTGGCGTGGTTTCATCAGTGGATTGATTTGGATTATTGGTGTGCTGGCTTTTTTGGATCAGGGGAACATGCTTCTCAAAGTTATTGGAAATTTTTGGGAAGGCATTGTGATAGCTATTAGGATCAGACTACTCTCCTTGCTTATCAGGGCGAATTTGCATTAATGTTTCAGTCTCCTTACCTTGGTATTGTTCCTCCTTTTGCTGCGACTGAATGTCTCTCCTAACCTGTTCCTGCTCAATTATACTACCTCCCTATTGCCCCTTAGCAAACGAATGTACTTTATCTGCACTACTACTCTGAATTGCAGCAGTGTACTCAAGATTTCAATTAGTGAATTTACCTGATTGAGTCTCATTTTCGTTTAAGACATTGTCATGTGGCCTGGTTCTGCTTCTCTGCTGTACCTGCACCTGGTTAATATCAATATCATAACTCGAATTGATTTCCTTACCTGATCGTTGCTGTACCACTTTGCTGGGATTTGTATCAGCAGCTTGGACTCCAAATGAGAACTGGGAAGAACTCTCCACATCAATTACTTCGAAAGTTTTTTTCCTTGTACTCTCTAGTTGATCATTTTGACTCTGTCCTGTTCTTTGGTCATGTTCATTGCATTGTTCTCCATTTTTTGTTGCATTCATTCCCTGTGGAGATTGTGTTTGGTTGTTCGATTCCTCATGGTTGTGTGGGAGGTTCCCTTTGTGATTAGAATCATGACTATTTCCTTGTGTTCCACTTTCCGGCTGGTGATTGTGTGATTGTTGTGGTTGAAGATCACCCATTCTTGCTGGAGTTTCTTCTTGTACCTGTTCTTGATTTAGATTAATGGAAATATTCGTAATAGGAATCAGCTTACCCGTAGAATTGCTTCCTTGAACCATTTCGCCGACGAACTCCTTGTTTAGTTCGTCTCCATCACCGGAATCCTCACCGCCGGCGATTCGAGCATCCATTTTACTCGAGATTGCAGTGAGATGTACCTCTTCATCAGGGGAGTAATCCCCACTGCTCAAATCCCCACAAATTTGCTGGGACGATGCTCGAATTTGAAGGCGGCGCTCAGGCGATTCATTGGCGATTTGCCCAGAAATCGCGTCCTTAGATCTTGCGATTGGAATGATGGAATCAACTGATTTTTTAGTATGTTGTAGCTCTTGATTAGGAGAATCATCCCCATTAGCCAGCCTTTCATAAAACACATCATTAAGATCTGTAGAAATATTTTTGCGAAACCCGTCTAATTCCCTCTCTGAAATCGCGATGTTCATCGCTTCATTGATTTGCGAATTCACAGAGTTACTGATTGAATTAGAGGCGATTGTGGATGGGTTTTTTTAGTCTGGTCCAGGCGCTCCTGGTGGGGCTGGTCCGGCGGTCTGAAAGGTACCACCGGCGGCTCACGCGCCATTGAGGCTAGGGAACTAGCCGTTGGGCTGTGTAGCCTTGTGCAGAACTTAGAGAGAAATTCGCGAAGAGAGAGAATTTAGAAAGAGAAAAAATTTGAGAAATGAGGAAGCAATGGGGTTAAAGGTTTAGGGTTTTGGGTTTTGGGTTTTGGGTTTTGGGTCTCTGGTTAAATGTTTAGGGTTTTTTTTAAATGACCCTTGGAGGGGTCAGGGGCTTAAGCAATACTCCCAGGCCTTAACTTATAAAGCAAAAATTACAAGGAGGGGGACATAAGCCTAACCTCCGATCCTATGGTGGTTCAGTTATCGACCTTAATACAAGGTTAGTCAAATCATCCCCTTACAAAAAAAGGAGAAATTAAGAAACTAAGCACCTAAAAGAGAGGACTCCTCTCGATACAAAGAATCTAGGAATCATAAACTAGGGAGACTTTACCTTTACAAATTAGAAAGAAAACCTATACCCATTCAAAAAAGCTATAATTGTTTAAACTATAGCTAGGTTGAAAAGATAGTATCCAACCTCATGGGGGTTCTTTGATCCTCTAAATCTTCTTTCTCCTGAAGCTTTCCATTTCTAGCATGTCTAATTGATGGTTAGCTTTTGCTTTCTTTGGCGATTCTTGAATGTTGAAGTATAGTTGTGGGCTAGGGAACTTGTGACTGTGTTTTGCAAGAGAATCAGCCACAAAGTTGGCTTCTTTGTAGATATATTTACACCTGAATTCATGTGCCTGCCTGGTGAGTGCTTGGAGTCGTTGTACCTGCTTGCTAATGCTCCATGGAGGGTTCTGGTTTGATCTTGATCCAATCCACCAGAAGCTGTGACTCTACTTCCAAAAGGATATTCTTGTATCCTAATTCCAAAGATCCTGTTATCCCAAAAATAGCTGCTTCTAATTCGGCTTGGTTGTTAGGTCCCTCCCCCAAGGGAGTGGCAAATGCTAGTACCATTTCCCCTGTATGATCCCTTAGTATACCCCCTGCTCCTATTCTGCCTGGGTTGCTCAAGGCACTGCCGTCACTGTTGAGCTTCACCCACTGATCTGGAAGTTTGAGGGTTTAGGGTTTAGGGTTTTGTTTAGGGTTTAGATTTTAGGGTTTACAGTTTAGGGTTTAGAGTATAGGGCTTAGGGTTTATGGTTTAGAGTTTAGAGTTTAGGGTTTATGGTTTATGGCTTATGGTTTACGGTTTTAGGTTTATTGTTTAGGGTTTTCGGTTTAGGGTTTAGGTTTAGGGTTTAGGGTTTTAGGTTTAGGTTTAGGGTTTAGGCTTTAAGGGTTAAGATTTAGGGTTTATGGTTAGGATTAAAGGTTTAGGGTTTAGGGTTTAGAGTTTAGGGTTTATGGTTTAGGGTTTGGGGATTAGGGTTTACGCAGAGGAGCAGGTGAATTTTCCATCTGAATTAAGTTTCCACCCTGCTTGATCAGGGATTCCTTGCTGGTATTGAAAGTGAGAATCTAGGATGTTAGCTACCATATTGTGAGGGGCTTGTTGAATCACCATCTCCATATTCCATTGGCCCTCAATCAGGAAGTCTGCCACTTTACTGTTGTTGAACATGTTGCTGTTATTAGAGAAATTGGCTAAGGGGCCAACTCCTAGCCAATTGTCTCACCAGAAGGAGCAAGTTCCAGAATTGATTTTCCAGTGTATGTGCTCCTTAATCTTCAGTTTGTTAATCATTAAGTGTTTCCAGATTAGGGACTCACCAGTGTCCCATTTCTTGCTGATAGGATTGGATCTTTGACAATATTTAGCTCTCAAAAATTCCCCCCAAAGAGTGTTTTGATCTAAAAATCCACCACTGCTTATATTGAAATGCCATGCACACTTCTTGCAAATTTCTCATACCAATACCACCTTCCTCATAAGGAAAACTCAAATTCTTCCATGATAACCAATGATATTTTTTCCTTCCATTTTTCCATCCCCAGAAAAATCAGCCATAAGGCTTTGAATTTGTTTGATAACAGTAGAAGGGGGATATATAGAAGAAATTAAGTGAATGGAGAGGGATTGAAGCACATGCTTGACTAGGGTATTTCTCCCTCCATAGCTCAGAATTTTGGCCTTCCAACCTGTAATTCTGTTGATTACTTGTTGATAAGATGAGAAAAGTAAATGATTCTTGGCCTGCCAGTGTATAGTGGACATCCAAGGTAAGTAATAGGCCCTCGTTTTGCTTGAAACCTGTAAGCCTATTAATCCTATCCTTAGTGCTATTAAAGGCATTAGGATGGACCAAAAAATAGCTTTTATCTTTGTTCACTAACTGTCCAGAAGTCTCCTCATATATATTCAGAATATGCATAATTAGTTCAAGAGACATTTTTCCTTCCAGAGGTAAAAATGATAATGTCATCTGCAAAGCTAAGGTGATTAACTTGAGGGCCTCTCCTTTCCATAAAGAAACCATGATAGTCAGGATTGCTATGAAGTCTGTTCAATGATCTAGAAAGAACCTCAGCCCCTAAAATAAATAGGGCAGGTGATAATGGGTCACCCTGCTTCAGGCCTCTAGTAGATTGAAAGAAACCATATCTTTTCCCATTAACAATAAGTGAGTACCAATTATTTGCCATGATCCTCCACACCATATCAGTGAACACCTCATCAAAGCCTATTTTCCTTAAGACCAAACATGTATAAGACCAAGAAACCCTGTCATAGGCCTTTGCCATGTCCAATTTAATGACCATATTGCTCCCTATATTAGGCTTCTTAATCTGATGAATAATCTCTTGAGCTAGCATGATATTCTCTGATATGCTTCGACCTTTGACAAAGCCTGATTGATTAAGAGAAATCAGGTTGGATAGGATAGGACCCGGTCTCATGCTGAGGAGTTTAGAGATGATTTTGCTGGTGAAGTTACTAAGACTGATGGGCGTGAATTCAGAAAGCTTATTTGGATTGTTTACTTTAGGCAGCAACACAATACAAGAGTGGGAAAAATATTTGGGAATCATTTACCCACTGAAGAAGGCCAATATGACATCAAATAGGTCATGCTTAATAATCTGCCAGCACTTCTGGAAGAAATATCCATTCATACCATCTGGGCCTGCTGCAGAATTTGGGTTCATAGAAAAAATCACCTCTTTTAATTCCTCATTAGTAGGCATGACAGTTAGCATGGCATTGTGTTCTTGATTAAGCATTTTGGGAATACAGTCAAGGGGCTCCTCATTGATAAATTTATCCTCCCGTGTGAAAATATGCTGAAAGTGATCACGTGCTTCCTTTTCAATAATTTCATCTCCTTGTATCCACTCACCATCCTCTCTCAGAATTCTGTGTATGAATAATCTCCTCATTCTCCCTCTTATTAAGGAGTGAAAATACTTTGTGTTGCTATCACCCTCTTTAAACCATTGGAGTTGAGTATTTTGCTTCAAAATGGACTCTTCCAACTTCAAGAATCTGATGTAATCAGCATTGAGCTCATGTAGGGTAGTTCTATTCTCCTCTGTATTAGTTTGTATAAAGAGTTCTTCAGCAAGTTTAACTCTATTTTCATACTCGTTGACTTTAATAAAAATGTCACCAAATTCTCCCTTAGACCAAGCACTGAGAGTACAGGCCAGTCTTTTGATTTTCTGATGAAACCTCCACATGTTATTGCCCTCCAGTTCCCTATCCCAGCAAGCTTGAACAATATCTAGGAAATTAGGTTGGTCAGCCCAGTAGTTGAGAAACTTGAAATATTTAATGTGATCATCCCTTCTAGCATTCATTTCCATCAATAGAGGACAGTGGTCTGATCCTACTGAGGGAAGATGAATGATGGTGGCTTGAGGCATATATTCCAGCCAAGAATCATTTACCATAGCCCTGTCAAGTCTCTTCTACACCCTGTTGTGTATACCGCTGTTGTTGGACCATGTGAATTTCTGTCCACTAAAGCCAAGGTCCATCAGGCCACAAGCTTCAATCACTGCAATGAATTCCAGACTTTTTCTCATATTGTAAGGCACCCCTCCCAGCTTCTCATCAGTGGAGGTAATAACATTAAAGTCCCCCACAGTACACCAAGGGGAGTTGGTTTTAGTAGTAGCATGGTGCAACATTCTATCCCAGAGGGGTTTTCTAAGACGGTCCTTACATTTGGAATAGACAAAGGTATTGGTGAATTTGGTATGTAACTCATTATGAGCAATTTCACAGGTGATATGCTGCTCATCTTCCTCAATCACAATGCAGTCAACATCCAAATTCCAAAACAACCAGATCTTGCCGTTGCAATTACTCATAGCATTGTCCATGTCCAGTTGATGCTTCAAAGTCTGAACATGTATGATATCTGAGAATGGTTCCAAGATTGCCATAATAGAAATATGATGTATATTCTTAAGCATTTTAAGTCTTTCCATAACACCCTGGGTGTTAATCCCTCCTACATTCCAAATAAGTGTACTGATCATTGGGAGGAATTGGAGGTAAAGTGCCTGGTATTTGGTCTGCCTGCAATGACAGTGTTGATATCCTGATTCTTGAAATAGAATTTGTCATGATGAAAACCCCTTGGAGATAGACGTTAGTTGTTAGTCACTTGTTGGATTTCATCCTCTATGCTTTCATTTTTGTGAGGACTAAATGCTTTGATCAACACCTCACAAGTCTCATCATCATCATCAGGATCTTGTAAAGACTGGTTATCCACATCAACTTCATCCTCAAAATTATCTACAACATATTCATCAATAACTGGAACAGTGTTGGTTTGACATGTATTATGCCATTTATCAGGGGGAACATTAGGACGAGGAGTCATATACTGAGTCTGGAGGGGAGTAATATCCATTCCCTATTGATCATCTACTATAATAAACTTTTTGCATACTTCATCATTATTTTGTTCCCCTTGTTGCTCACTCTCTTGCTGTTTGTTTTGTCTCTGTTTTGTTACTTCTCTCTTTTTCTTGCTAGGTTTGTTTTTGCTCTTTGGAGTATTTCCTTGATTACTAGTAGTTGCTTTATTTCCCATATCTTTTTCCATTGCTCCCTTGTTTTGATTATTAACTGTTCTTTCCTCTGTTTGTTGTTTTTCCTTAGGGTTTTGAATTTATGATTTAGGATTTAGGGTTAAGGGTTTAGGGTTTAGGGTTTAGAGTTTGAATTTAGGGTTTAGGGTTGGAGTTTACAATTTAAGGTTTAGGGTTTAGGGTTTGGTTTTACGGTTTAACGTTTAGGTTTAGGGTAAGGGTTTAGGGTTTACGATTTAGGGTTTAGGATTTGAGGGTTTAGATTTAGGGTTTAGGGTTAGGGCTAGGGTTTAAGGTTTAGGTCTAGGGTTTAGGGTTTAAGGTTTATGATAAGTCTTAGGGTAAATTAGGGTTTAGTGTTTAGGGTTTAGGATTTCGAGTTTAAGGTTTAGGGTTTAGGGTTTAGGATTTAGGACTTAGTGTTTAGAGTGTGGATATATGGTTTAGGGATTAGGTGTATGGTTAGGTTTTATGGTTTAGTGTTTAGGGTTTAGTATTTAGGGTTAGGGTTTAGGGTTTAATGATACGATTCTCACGAGACAAACAATGATAATATGTAGAAATCGAAAAGACGAAAAGTAAAAGATAAATAATTAGACACACAAAGAGGAAATCAAAGGCAAACTATGGGTATATTAAACCCAAAGACCTCAATCAATTAATCTTACAATAGCACCTAACTCTTACGACTACCTCAGAGGAATCAATATCCCGAGCAACCGACGTTTCTAAACAAGCTTCAACAAAAGCTTTACCAATCTCTCAACACTCAACATGATTTTTCAGCTCTCAATATCAAAATAGTCTAAGTCTATAATGAACCCTAGCTAGCTATTTATAGGTTTAAGATAAAAGGGCCCAAAAGTGACCCGGAATGACAATGGGCAACCTGGGTCGGGTCGCCAAGGGGTTGGGCGATGCACAGACCTTGTTGGTGAGCTTCTCTGCTTGATCTTCAAACATGGTCACGTTCTGGAGCATTAGGTGAGCTGGGACCATCGCCTAAGCTTTTGGGGGATGCGCCAAATGGGCCCTACTCACCAAAAGTGCCTTTTTCTGCAATCTTCAAAGCATGAAAGTCCTTGCTTGTCATCAACACCATCTTGAGCACCTCCATCTTCATAAATAAACCTTGCATCCTTTGAAGGTCTTGAGCTTGGTTTCAAGTAAATGGGCTTGATGAAATCCGTATTGCATCATTTAGAGTTTTGATTTGGAGTAATGGGTTAGGGTTAGGTTTAAGGGTTTAGGGTTTAGGGTTTAGGTTTAACATTTAGAGTTTAGGATTTAGGATTTAGGGCTTAGGGTTTAGGGTTTAGGGTTTAGGGTTTAGGTTTAGTGTTTAAGATTTATGGTTAGGATTTAGGGTTTAGGGTTAAGGTTTAGTGTTTAGGGTTTAGGGTTTAGGGTTTAGGGTTTAGAGTTTGGATTTAATGTTTAGGGTTTAGAGTTTGGATTTAATGTTTAGGGTTTAGGTTTAAGGTTTAGGGTTTAGGATTTAGGGTTAAGGGTTTTATAGTTTAGGTTTAGGGTTTAGGATTTAGGGTTATGGTTTAGGGTTTATGTTTTAGGGTTTAGGGTTTAGGGTTTATGGTTAAAGGTTTAGGATTTAGGATTTAGGTTTTAGGTTTTGGGGTTTTTTTTAGTAGAACGACCCTTCAGGGGGTCAGGGGCTGAGCAACACCCCCAGGCCTTATCATATACAAAATTCAATTATACAAGGAGGGGGACATTGACCTTACCTCCAATCCTAAGGTGGGTCAAGAGTTAACCTACCTACTAAGGTTAGTGGACTCAACCCTATACAATGAGATGTAATATTAAACTAAGCACCTAGAGAGGACTCCTCTCTTAATACAAAGTTACTAATAATACATAAATAAGGGAGACTCTCCCTTACAAGGAGAGAAATTAAAACTAGGCCTAATCAAGAAGCTATATTTAACTATATAGCTTATTTGAAAAGAATGTATCACAAGAATCCAAATGCAATAAGTGTAGTAATAATATGCTTTCTACTTCTGCAAGTTGCACCTCTTGCTATAAGATAACCATTGTATATAGGTCCCTTAGTTGCAGAATTCCTTCTTTTGGAACTTGGTTTCGATTACCGAGTAGTAGATGGTTGAAAGTTATTTAAACAAGATAGCATGCATGCTGTTATACTGTATGCCTTAGTAGAATTTCCACCACCACCAGAATCTCCTGTTCCTAATCAAACAACCAAACTAAGTTAATAATTAAGCTAAAGATAGAAACAGAAAATCGAGGGAGTGTTTTTTTTAAAAAAATATCAATCAAAGAGGAAATTTAATCCTTCGCAGTTTTTTCCTTCTGAAACTTTGAATTCCCATTTTCTCCAGAATATAACTTCCTCTAACTGCTTTTGGTAACTGGTTGGGGGTGTAATAATGTTGGATGATATCATGCTGGTGACTTTGTTTGGACAATTATTCTGTTGTACTGTTGTCTTCTCTGTATGTATGAACACAGTGAACATAAGCACGTTGTTTAGCAATGTCTTGTAGTTCCTACACAAACCTGTTAAGCCTCCAAGGAGGATCAGAAATCTACAAAAACCATTTGGTTAGTAATTCAGAATCCACTTCTAACATGATGTTTTGACACCCATGTTAAATGCACCAATTGAGTCCATAACTAGCAGCCTGTACCTCTGCCTGATTATTGGACCCTTCACCCAATGGTATAGCAAATGCATAAACAATAGTACCATTGGAATCCCTCAGAATACCACCACCTCCAATTTTCCCCGGATTATTCAAAGCACTACCATCCGTATTCAGTTTATAAGTAGAATTAGGAGGAGGTATCCACCTTACTGAGAGGACACGAACCTCATGTTTACCATGTTCTACCATAGATACAACATCTGACCACTGAACTGGCCACTTAATAAAAGGAAATATAGTTCTAAGTATCTGAAACATATCTTTAATAATCAAATATTTAACCCTGCTAATACTAGAAGTCTTGCCCCCATACTTAGTTGAACACCTATTCTTCCATAGATTCCAACATATAACTATAGGAAGAGTCTGAATAATAGTCTTATGAGCTTTATTTTTAACATGACTACCACGCCAATTTAAGAGATAGCTACTCAGGGATGTCTGTTGTACATTAACACCCAAAGAACTTGAAAAAAATTTCCATATGTGTGCTGCAAAATGCCCTTGTATGAATATATGATCCATTTCATCCCATCCTTGCTGATAACAACAAGAACATCTCACAGGTTCCACTCCAAAGGTCCCTAGTTTCTCATTAGTTGGAAGTTTTTTCCTCAAGGCCCTCCAAAGTAGAAAAGACATTTTGAAAGGAATATGTATATGCCAAATTTGAGAATTAAGATCTATAATGTTCTTATTTCTGCAAATTTCCCAGCTTGATGTACATGTGAATTTTCTTGATTCAGTATGTTTCTAGACAGCAATGTCTGGAACTCCCTACACAAAATGAAAATCAGTATTTAAAATATAAGGAATAAGAAGAGGTGGACCTTGTTGCCTCAGTTTCCTTTCATTCCATTTTCCATTAGTTAGATGGTGTGCAATGGTAGCATTGTTGAGACTTGATACAACAGTAGTATAATGAGCTAGAGCTCCTACTCCCAACCAATCATCCCACCAAAATGAGCAACTGCCTGACTTGATTGTCCAACCTATATGCTCTTCTACTTTAAGTTTGTTCCTCATCATGTACTTCCACATCAAAGACTGTCCATTGTCCACTTTTTTTGCAACTGGATGAGCTCTTTGACAATATTTGGATTTGAGAAATTGACTCCATAAAAAGGTTTTTGATCTCAAAGTCCACCATTGTTT